ACAAACAAAAAAACAAAAGAGAAGGGGCTGGAGTAAAATTGCTGATAAGGACCAGAGTTCAATTCCTGGCACCCATGCAGAAAGCTGGGCCCAGCCACGTGGATAGAGGCATGGACCTATACTTTTCAACAAGCCTGCACTCTCTCTCCTTAGGTTGTACAAGCCTGCTTCTCCAAACAGGAACCTACGCTAGATGCAGTCAGGAGGGTCCCCATGACTCCAGATTCTAGGTCTGCATCTGGCTGACCCCACACGGGCTCCCCCCAGGCTCTGGGTTACACTGTGAAGTGGTCACAGGCATGAGGGAGGGACCTAAGGTCAGTGCTACCTGTATCTCATGGGCTTTGCAGACAATTCTGTTTGCTCTGTCCAGCTTCTCCCGTTTGACGGCCTCACTCCCGTGACAGGCATTTTTCCGTCTGGGCAGAGGGTCCTGGCAAACCATAGGGAACAAGACCAGGCCAGGATAGCTCCTTCCAGGCCCAGGTCTTTCCAAGGAAATGGGAGATTCTAGGGTCCAACTTGTCTTGGGAGAGGAGGAGTGGGCAAGATGCCAGGCTCCCACTGCGTGCTGGAACCCAGCTCGAGCTTCCCCCGCACGGCAGCCTTGGGAGGCGGCTCGGCCACCCACACACGGCAGAGGCTGGGTCCAGGCTGGGAAGGGAAGTGGAGCCGTGTGGGACCGTGAGCCAACCCTCAATTATCCCAGCAGACACTGCAGAACCTGCCTGGCTGCAAACAGGCCCCAGCTATTTCTAACTCTGCCACAGACCCCTCCTGCCTGGAAGTTGTTTGGGCGAAAAGAAAATGAGTAGAAGTTACTGTGAGCTGGGGGATGGAGTGGCCTTGTCTGAGCCCGAGTTGGCCATGGCCACACAGCTGTGCTTCAGCCAGCCCTGGGCGCAGGGGTCAGCCTGCCTCCTGCCTAGCCCCTACCCATTTGCCCTCTTCTCTCACTCATCTCCAGTAGAGCCTGTGAGCACCCTCTCTGCTAGCCAGGCATTGGCTGGCAGATGAGGGTTAGGCAGCTGCTTCAGCTCTGGCAATGCTGCAGAGGGTATGTAATATCCAAAGATGGCATGGGATGGGCCAACCCAGGCCTTGGGTCTTGGTGAGAGGCTTCCTGCTGGAGGCTCCACAGAGCCACTGCAGTCCTACTGGTACTGGATTTTACAGGGGGATTTCTCAAGGCTGTGTGGGCCCACACAGAAAGGAGCCTCTGTCCTAGGCAGTGACCTGGTACCATGGGAAACACGGCAGAGGCAGACTCAGGGAATTTAACTGTCTACAGATACTTTAAAGTTGCTGCCGGGGGTGGGAGTGCGGGTGGGAACATGTTCCCTCCTAGAGGAGACGGGCAGGGGACAAGGAGCCTGTGCCTGGGGGGTCTTGCTGCCTCTTCTTTGGGACCTGCCTGGCTGGCTTGCCCACTGTGGATGCTGCTGCTTTAAGGCTTTGCCAAGGTTAGCAGCAGAAAAGACCCTGGTGTCATCACAGGCCGCACACAGAAGGGCAGCATCTGTGGCCTAACATCGGAGTCACCCAACAGGGACCTTGGGTGAGCCACATCTTCCCAGGACCCCTCAGGGCCAGCAGACCCTGCAATTATCCGCATGTGACAGACGACGAAGCAGATGCAGAGGCAGGCAGCAGCTGGCTGGCACCAGCTCGCACCGCCGTGCTGAGGACCACTGTGTCCAGCATGCGGTTCCTGCACTCACTTTCACACCTGGGTAGAGCGGGACCAGGGGGACACAAGTCTCCATATGGACAGAGCCAGGTGTGAGGACCAGGTGGTGGGGCTGAGGCCATGCTTGAGGCAGCAGGCCAAGACGAGGCTTTGGAGAAAACTGGAGCCAAGCCCAGCTGGCAAGAAGCATTTCCTGGTCTGTCCCTGGTGGTGAGGGGTGGGCCACGGGAACTTGGGTGGGGCAAGTGGAGTCTGAGTGGGGCTCCAGGAGCTGTTTCAGACCCTGCTGTGGAGAGACAGCTGCCTCTCCACTGAATAAACCAAGGAGGGGAGACAGTCCTGTTGCTAATGCACTTGCCTTCCAAGCACCAGGACCCCAATCCAATCCCTAGAACCCATGTGGAAAAGCCAGACATGGAGGCACACTTGTTATCCCAGGCCAGCGAGGAGGAAAAAGATGGAGAGCCGGGGCCTGCTGGCTAGCTAGTGTAGCCTGCTTAGCGAGTTCTCGGCCAGTGAGAGACTGTCTGAAAGATGGATGGCGTTGCTAATGAGAGCAGGTGGAGATGTCCTGTGGCCATCCTACGTACACAGGTGTGCACACATGCTCATGAATCCCTACAAAGAAAACATGGCATCGGGAAGAGTTTATTGCCTAGAGGGACACGATGCAAATGTGTTCTTTCTTCAATAAGAGCCACCAGCCACCTCTACTAAGGTCACAGGACGTAGCCCCGTCAACATGCAACCACATAACTAGTTTTTCACCTCTTTGGCCACCATGTGACAAGGGCCCTGAGCAGTGACCACAGCCACACACCAGCACTCACCTGGCCACCACACAGCACAAGTTTCACCAAGCCACTCTACTGTGTCCCAGAATGTGCATACATTCTGTGGCCTGTCTAAAGCCAGGGGTTGGCCATACCGGCCGCCTTGAAGTTGAGATGGTTTGAGCCTGTGTGTTGCAGGGAGCTCAGGAGAGGCTTCTCAACAGGCTCAAACCTGGCTGGGGGTGGTGTCCATCCACAGGCCACATGGGGCCTCCTCCTTGTCCCCCCTGCCATAGTGAGGGAGCTGCCTGGAGTCAGGGAGGGTTGGCCCGCTTCCGAGCCCCAAGTTGAAGGCAGTTGCCTGCCTGGCTGTGTTCGTGTCATGAAATGCCCCTTGGGTCTAACCTACTGACGTCGGGAGAATGGTGACTCTGTGTCTGCCGTTGGCTGGGCAACCCCAAGGACAGCTGGTGGCGAGGATAAATGAGGCGGGAAGGCACCTCATCCGCCTGTGTGGGCAAGTGTGAGGACAGTGAGTAGCGGCTATGCAGCCCCTCCCGCCCTTGCTCTCTGTGTGCTGCAGAGGCTGTGGGTGGCGGGACACGGGTCAGGGCTAGCAGCAGGCCAGGGAGGTGGCAGGTCTGTCACACAGCTGGGAGGCCACCCCAAGAGGCTTGTGATAGAAACATGATGGGCAGACACCTAAACCTGAAAGGACCAGAACTAGCTGAAATAGGGTGATGGGGCCAGATTTGCCGTTTGGAGACGGGAGCAGAAGCGACTTAAGACAGGTTCCCACCATGTAGCTTTGAATAGCCTGGCCTGAAACTCGTTATGCACACCATGCTATCAAGAACCTCTAAAAATGGACTACAACAGGACCTCGTGGTGCTGAGGCAGGGGGACTGTAAGACCAAGGCCAGCCTCAGCTACAGGCAGAGTTCAAGGCTAACCTGGGCCACTCAGTAAGTCCCTGTCTCTAAACACAGGGTTAATATGTAGTTCAGTGGGATGTATGTCAGGGATATAGCTCAGTGGCAGAGCATCTGCATGGGCCACTAGAGAGGCCGGGAGCGTGGCTCAGTGACAGAGAGCTTGCCTACCTATCATGCAGGAGGCCCTAGGTTCCATTCCCACAGCACCAAGGGACAAAACAGAACAAAACACCTAGAATACTTTGGAGCGCAAATTAGACCTTGTCTACAAACACCGATGTGGGGAGTGTGTTCCCTGTGACAGCCGCTCAGCACATCTTCATTCGCCAATCTCGAAGAAAAGCGCGGAATTCTACACCGCATTAAACTAAACACCCATCAGCGATCCCAAGTTATTCAAAGGTACACAGAGGCGAAGAAATCCATTCCTTGATAGCTTACTGACTTAGAGACTTTGGGCGTTCAAATATTTATTTACTTAGTCAAAGGTCTGAAGAGTGCTAAGAAGGGTAGAAACGGATGGATGTAATCTGAGAAGTCCAGAAAGTCTCCAAGACACACCATGAAGTCACACGGAAGGGTGGGTGCTGCACCGGATATGCCTCTGGCCACCATGATGGGCAGCGTCCCATGGAAGGCCAGATGGATGGGAACAAGGGAAACTGAGCCACTGGGCAAAACCGACAAACTCCAGGGCAGGGATCACTTCTTCCTGTGAAATTCTGCTTAAGATATTTAGGTCACCCCGGGCAGTTTATGGGCAGAAACGAAAGTGGGCTCCTGCTTCTGCAGGACGCAGGCGGCCTGGCCTGGTCAGGGGTGGTCCCACGCCACGTGGTGCAGAACGGGGCTGGCCAACCTCGGGGCTGCCCACTGGAGCCTCTTCCCCAAACAGCCACACATGACACCGGATCAAGGGCCACACGTGGGCCACATGCTGTGCTACTTCCGTAAAACCATGCCATGGACAGGCCTGCCAGCAGTGAGCAAGCCCTTACAACCAGACTTCCAGTTACAACATCACTCCACTCCCACGAGGATCAACTCCACCTCTGCTGGACCTGTGGACTTGGTGCACACGGGTGCCAAGCCACAGCACCCTTCCTCAGGAGCCCACCCTGCGCACACGATTCCGACCAGCACAAGTTCATGAAGACCGCAGCCCGACTGCAGCTTGCAGGGCTCAGCCACTGGATCACTGTCGGTACCTCTGGTCTGACCACCACGTAGCTGGCACATACAGCTGTCCTTTCCCTTTCACGGGCTGTGCCACATACTGACCCCTCGAGGAGGCCTGGCAGCCTCTCACCGTGCCTGCTATGCCTCTCACTGTGCTCTGGGCCACTGCTGCCTCTGGACAAAGTGGGAGTGCGGCTACCCATAGGGCAGACCTCAGCAGAGGCTCCGAGTTCAAAGGCAGCCAAGCAGGAGCGGCCCCAGGCCAGCGCCTGCCAGGAGTGGGACAAAGGGAGCAGGATGTCCCCTCGTGCCATCAAAGACCATGCTCCAGCACATGACCAAGGCTGACGCTGACCTCTCAGCCAGCTAGGAGAGCTGCCTGTGTCCGCATGAGCGTTGTTATGCACACGCCGTGTTGCCTACCTTGAAGATGAGGCAGTCGGACTGGTGCTCGGCGTACCGGGAGGTGAGACGGTACTGGCTCTCGGTGGTCACGTCGATCTGGTAGCCGGTCAGTGTGTAGCAAACCTTGCGGAACTCCTGGATCTTGGTCTGGAAAACCTCCTTGAGCCGCTGGTTCTTCAGCTCGGCACTTTCCACCTGTTTGCGCAGCTCTGCAGGGAGAGAGGCGTGCTATGAGACACACCGGGTGTTGACGGGGAGAATGGCCAGGGGACGGGGCAAGGATGGATGGAAGGTCAAATGGAGTCCCTGCTGCTTGGGACACCTGAGGCTGGTGTCCATCTGTGAGCCCTGAGGAATCAGGAGAAAAAGGACAAGGGGCCAGATAAGCTGCGTGACCTTCTTTGGCAGCCATAATGAAGTCACTGAATTAACAACAGTACTTAAAAAAAAAAAAAATACAAAACATAGTGACTCTGAAGACATATGCTGTGACTAGACACCCTGCTAGCAGGATGGTAACGCCCAACAGGACATCACCCCGTCACTATTAGGAAGCACTGGTGGGTGCTTTGGGGGTGACTGGTCCCAGCTGGCCAGCGGGTTCCAGAGCCTGCTGGAGAAGGAAGCACCAGGAGCCCAGGTCTGCAGTGAGGGTCAGAGCCCCAACTACTCTGGCAAATGGGCCATCACTAGACTGCAGCCTGAGCTCCTGCCTCCCAGGGGCTGGCCACTTCCCCTGCGTGAGCCAGCAGAGTACTCAGAGAAAGATGGATGGAAGCTCTTTGATTATTGTGGGCTGTTTTATTTATGGGGTCCACATGATGGCCACCTGTGACCAAAAGGACCCTCCTTGTTGCTCAGCTAGGTCTAGGTGGGCTCCAGATAACCCTGCCTAGGAACCCCTCCCCAACCTCCGATGTGTCTCTGGGCACAGCACCACCTCCCCAATTGCCCGCCATGGTTTACTGGTGCTTAGGGAGAAGCCAGCTGCGCAAAGCCACCAGGAGCACACACAATTACCATGAATCTCTCACCCAAGGTGCCTGCTGAGTAATTAAGCCCTGATTTACGTCCCGTTAATTACCACGCCTAGCTCCACTCACACACACGGACTGTCTCAAGCTGGGCACTTCCTGGCGTTCTGCATGGAACTCGCTCACCAGGGGAGTCCCACAGGCCTGGGCCATCAGGCTAGTAGGTGTGCTGCGGGCCTCCCTTTGCTGTGGCGAGGGGCTGGGGTTAGATAACATCCGCCAGGATATGTGGGCGGGGACACAGAGAAGACTGGGCACTATGAGGAGGGTGATCTCGGGCTAGTGTGAAGAAAGATATCCCTAAGTTGAGAGCAACAGAGTCCAAGCGGCTCCTGGACCAGGCCCAGCGAGGGTCCCTCCTGGGCTCACTGTGAAAGAGTAGGAGAAAAGGTCTGAGGTGGGGCACCTGAAGCCAGGCCTGAGGCAGGAGGGAGAACGAGCCTGTGCCCTGTGCAGCACAGACTCAGGTGGTGGTTAGTATGTGCAGATGGGATGGCCTTCCAGAGATCACTGGGGCAAGAGAACCTACCTTCCACGAGAGCCGTGTGCGTACAAGAAGCACTGAGCAACCCCAAGGAAAACAGAGACCAGAGAGGGCTGGGTCTCCAGTCACCGTGCCGCTTCCGTGTCTCCACACATTTCCCAGGAGACCGTAGCTGGCCTCAGATATAGTCTTGAGGATTTAGCTAGGGCAAGCTCTGGAGGCCAGCTTAAGTCAAAAGCATAAACTCAAAAGCCATATGCTGCTGTGGCACGGTGGTACTTTTTTCTTGTCTCTGGACTGAAGCACTCCCTCTAGGAGGGAGGCCCCTTAAGACTCACTAAGTACAGAAAACTTGCAGGACTCAGGAAATTATCAAAGCTTACAAAGCTTAGGGAACTCAGAAAGTCTTAAGATTCTCGACTCCACCTCTCAAGTTTCTGAAAGCAGGAGCAACTGCTAGGGAGAGGAGATTCTCCAACTGGCCAAGCTGCCAGCAAGCTGCCTGGGGAGCTTCAGGGATACAGCTTTTGTGGGTCGTTACCATTGTTGGGGTGGGCTTTTTGGTGATGCAGCTCCTCAGAGCCACCAGCACTTCAGTGAGTAACTGCTCACCCATGCTCCGATAAGCAACCACAACCTCACTGCTCACTAATCTAGACTTGAGTGGACTGTTCTGCTGTTGGTGCCCAACCTAGAATGAACAGCTTTTTTTTCTTTTTCCTTTTTTTTTTTTTTTTTTTGCCTCCCTGGAAAATTCACACCTGTGGATGATGTTCCCTCCTCCTTTTTATAAACAATGAGACTGAGGCTCGGAGCACAAGCCACACAGCTGAGGAGCTCTAGCGGGGCTGCCGCCTTCCCTGTCCCTCACGTTCTAGAATGTGCAGCCCACCCACAGTCCACTGAGAGAATCACACTCGAAGCAAGGCATGATGGTAGCAGGGGCTGTGAGGAGAACTGGTCTGACAGACCCAGCCTGTAGGCAGAAGTTCTCCTGTGGGTTTGTCGCCTGGCCGCTGGCCCTGCCCTGCAGCTCTTTCATCCATCACCTGGCAGAGGCCTTGGCAGACACTGTTTTCCACAGTGTGAGCCCCTTCAAGAGGACACAGGCTCAGAGCCTTGATTAATCGAGTGATCAGACTATGAAAATGAAAGGTTAATTGGCAGCCCTGACCCAAGACTCTTCCTGGCATCCCTTGGCCCCGCCTCACTGAGAGAGCCTTCAGCGGGAGAAGAAATTCACCAACCACATTTCCCAGGGATGTTTCAGCCACTAGGTACTGGGACAGCCATTGACAGACACCAGGTGTCCTAGGGGGAAGATTAAATCTTGTGACCAAACACAGGCTGACATTGAGGAAGGAAATGGGCTTTCATGCAGTTCCCATCTCAAAGGCTGGTGCGGGGCTCTTAGGCCCATGGAAGGCCCACGGGGAGGGTCAGTGCACTTCTTGGGGATGAGTGGAGAGGAGGCCCTCTGGCCACATTCCCAGAAATCACAAGCATGGTTGTGGCTACAGAGGAGGAACACTCATTGCCCTTGGAAGTTGGGAGTAGAGCCACCTCTTTCAGGGAGAGAGTGAGGCCAGTGAGGGGAGAGAGAGACAAGACAAGCAGGGTGATGCCCAAAGCCTGGAAACAATCATCTGATTTGGGGTGTTATTTCTGTGGCTCAGTGGCTTACATAAACAGAATGAATAATTCACTCAATGGTTTGGATTAAATAAATAAAAGATGGCTCCACCTTGGAAGTGTCATTACTCTCCTGCCACTGGCTGTCACTCAGTCTCTTTCAAAGTGACCACGAGCAGAGGTTGGTTTTGGGCTTGTCCCAGGAGGCAAAGGGTCTTGGGGTCTGTGTCTGTGATGACATACTCTGGTCTTGGGAAGACATCTTCAGCCATTCCTGAGTTTGTAGGTAACAACACTGGAGAGAGGGCCAGGGTGGTTGCTGGGGTCAAACCCAGGAAGCCGAGAGTCAGAAGCCTTGGGCCCCAAGAGGCCCTGAGGTCATTCTGAGACCAAGACCCAGAGGAAGGTGGCTTTGTTCTGGGGAGCGCTCCTCTAGATCCCCAGAGCCAGCCCCTGGCCACACTCCCACTCTGGGGCAACTGAGGCCCTTGAAGCTCTGGGTGCCTCTCTATCTTGTCACAAGCCTTAGCACGTAAGTCCCACCATGCTGACAGGAGGACGCTGTGGTCACTGCCATTGTCCAGCTCTATGCCACTATCCTCGGTGTCTGCAGGCAAGGCTGCCATGTCCTCCCTTCTTATGGCCTGCTCTGCAAGGACAGTCCTGGCTGTCCCTTAAGGACTGGAGTGTGGCAGGTGACAAGTTGGAGCCAGGAAGGGATATGATGGCTCATCAGAGCTAAAGCCAGACAGATGCTGATGGGACAGAGTAGGTTTCCAGAGTGGCCCTGGGGCACATCAGGCCTGCCCCCCAAACCCTGCTCTGTGTTCCGTGTCTGGCCTGCAAGCTCAGCCTGGCCTGTTGTCTGGCTCCACTCCTCCAGGGAGGCCACAGGATGGCTCTGAGCTGACACCCCTCACCGTCTCAGCCCCACACTTGCCCTTTTGGACGCACAGGAGGCAGCCGTGAAAGTTCTGAGGGAAGGACATGGGACAAAAATAGCTTGTACTCAGCCAGATAAAAGCTAGCAGGGATGTGCGCTCCTGCCTGAGAGCAGAGATGCCGGGATAATGAGCGTCGATGGGCTCAGATCTCTGGAGTCTCAGCTCCTGGCCTGAAGTCTGCAGAATGGCTGATACTAGTGGGGCCAGAAGGGCACGTGCGAGGTAGACACAGAGAAGAGGAAAGCAGAGAGAGGACTGTGGGGCTCACAGCAGCCATGCCACCTGTGCTGGACTGTGGACAGAAAGGTGGGCGCTGGGTGTGCTGTTTATTTAAAGCTTTTTAAAAATTGTTTTAAATTGTGTGTGTTGGATGCCAGAGGCATCAGATCCCCCTGAGGGTGGCGTGGCAATGAGCTGCCTGATGTGGGTGCTGGGAACTGAACTCAGGTTCTCCAGAAGAGCAGTGCGTGCTCTTACCCACCAAACCACTTCTCCAGTCCCTATGCTGGTTAGTTTCTGTGAACTTACACAAACCATGGAGGAGGGAACCTCAACTTAGAAACTGCCTCCTTCAGGCATGTCTGTGGAGCGCTGTCCTGGTTATTGAGATATGTAGGTGGGGCTAGCCCACCGTGGGTGCTGCCATCTGGGGCAGGCTGGCCTGGGGTACATAAGACAGGGAGCTGAGCAAGCCCAAAGAACAGACCAGAGCCTTCTTATCTTCACACCCTGATATCAAGTCCCTGACTCAGATGTGGTAACGGCCACAACCTGTAAGGCAGATAGATGCTTTCCTCTCCAGCTTGCTTCTGGTCAGGGTTTCATCACAGTGGCAGGGATGTGAACTAGAATGGACTCTACTAGTCCTGTGCCTTCACACTCAACCTGAACCAGGCTGCTGCATCTCTGGGTCACGACAGTGGCAGCCCCAATGACATCTGTCGTGTCTCTCTGATGGAGACTCTAGGGTCAGCTGTCAGCCCTACAGGACAACATCCTTTCCTCTTTGAAAAGAGAAACACACAACCTCCAAAGAAAACTCCCACAGGGCTGACGACGCAGCTCAGCCAGGAGTCCTTGCCAGGCAGGCACGAGGCCCTGGGTTTGATCCCCAG